GGGATGCGGGGGGTACAGGTGAGCAGTATGCAGGGGGTACAGGTGAGCAGTATGCAAGTGGTACAGGTGATCTGTATACAGGGGGTACAGGTGATCAGTATACAGGGGGTGAAGGTGAGCAGTATACAGGGGTTACAGGTGAGCAGTATACAGGGGGCTGTACACGGGGGTACAGGGGATATACAGGGGGGTACAGGTGAGCTGTATACAGGGGGTACAGGTGAGCTGTATACAGGGGGTATAGGTGATCAGTATACAAGTGGTACAGGTGAGAAGTATACAGGGGGTACAGGTGATCAGTATACAAGTGATCTGTGTACAGGGGAAGCAAGTGATCTGTATACGGGGTACAGATGATCTGTATACAAGGGATGCAGGGTGAGCTGTATACAGAGGGTACAGGTTATCTGTATACAAGGGATGCAGGGTGAGCAGTATACAGGGGGACGGCACCTCCCAGCTTGTGTGTGTGTGGTCGGGCAGGTCACTTCCAGCAGAAAGCTGAGTCAACTGATGAAGGGAAACACACTTCGGCCTGGATCGCATTGCGGCCGGTGTTCTGTTGATTTACTAAGCATTCATTTTGAAATGTTAATTGTGACCGTTGATAATATGCCGTCCATGGCAGTACATGGTGGATGACATTTTATGCGCATTCACTATTAATATCATAAGCATTTATTTTTTTTTGGTTTCAAAACTAAACTAAACAATTTTTTTGCTGGTGCACATGTCTACTTCTAACCCTAACATTAACCCCCCTGTAACTCTAGTCCTAACCCTTGCAGAATACCTCATATTAACCCTCCTTCTAACCCCCACCCCATAATCCTAACACTAATCCTCCTTCTAACCCTAACATGAACCCCCCCCCCTGTAACTCTAGTCCTAACCCTTGCAGAATACCTCATATTAACCCTCCTTCTAACCCCCACCCCATAATCCTAACACTAATCCTCCTTCTAACCCTAACATGAACCCCCCCCCCTGTAACTCTAGTCCTAACCCTTGCAGAATACCTCATATTAACCCTCCTTCTAACCCCCACCCCATAATCCTAACACTAATCCTCCTTCTAACCCTAACATGAACCCCCCCCCCTGTAACTCTAGTCCTAACCCTTGCAGAATACCTCATATTAACCCTCCTTCTAACCCCCACCCCATAATCCTAACACTAATCCTCCTTCTAACCCTAACATGAACCCCCCCCCCTGTAACTCTAGTCCTAACCCTTGCAGAATACCTCATATTAACCCTCCTTCTAACCCCCACCCCATAATCCTAACACTAATCCTCCTTCTAACCCTAACATGAACCCCCCCCCCTGTAACTCTAGTCCTAACCCTTGCAGAATACCTCATATTAACCCTCCTTCTAACCCCCACCCCATAATCCTAACACTAATCCTCCTTCTAACCCTAACATGAACCCCCCCCCCTGTAACTCTAGTCCTAACCCTTGCAGAATACCTCATATTAACCCTCCTTCTAACCCCCACCCCATAATCCTAACACTAATCCTCCTTCTAACCCTAACATGAACCCCCCCCCCTGTAACTCTAGTCCTAACCCTTGCAGAATACCTCATATTAACCCTCCTTCTAACCCCCACCCCATAATCCTAACACTAATCCTCCTTCTAACCCTAACATGAACCCCCCCCCCTGTAACTCTAGTCCTAACCCTTGCAGAATACCTCATATTAACCCTCCTTCTAACCCCCACCCCATAATCCTAACACTAATCCTCCTTCTAACCCTAACATGAACCCCCCCCCCTGTAACTCTAGTCCTAACCCTTGCAGAATACCTCATATTAACCCTCCTTCTAACCCCCACCCCATAATCCTAACACTAATCCTCCTTCTAACCCTAACATGAACCCCCCCCCCTGTAACTCTAGTCCTAACCCTTGCAGAATACCTCATATTAACCCTCCTTCTAACCCCCACCCCATAATCCTAACACTAATCCTCCTTCTAACCCTAACATGAACCCCCCCCCCTGTAACTCTAGTCCTAACCCTTGCAGAATACCTCATATTAACCCTCCTTCTAACCCCCACCCCATAATCCTAACACTAATCCTCCTTCTAACCCTAACATGAACCCCCCCCCCTGTAACTCTAGTCCTAACCCTTGCAGAATACCTCATATTAACCCTCCTTCTAACCCCCACCCCATAATCCTAACACTAATCCTCCTTCTAACCCTAACATGAACCCCCCCCCCTGTAACTCTAGTCCTAACCCTTGCAGAATACCTCATATTAACCCTCCTTCTAACCCCCACCCCATAATCCTAACACTAATCCTCCTTCTAACCCTAACATGAACCCCCCCCCCTGTAACTCTAGTCCTAACCCTTGCAGAATACCTCATATTAACCCTCCTTCTAACCCCCACCCCATAATCCTAACACTAATCCTCCTTCTAACCCTAACATGAACCCCCCCCCCTGTAACTCTAGTCCTAACCCTTGCAGAATACCTCATATTAACCCTCCTTCTAACCCCCACCCCATAATCCTAACACTAATCCTCCTTCTAACCCTAACATGAACCCCCCCCCCTGTAACTCTAGTCCTAACCCTTGCAGAATACCTCATATTAACCCTCCTTCTAACCCCCACCCCATAATCCTAACACTAATCCTCCTTCTAACCCTAACATGAACCCCCCCCCCTGTAACTCTAGTCCTAACCCTTGCAGAATACCTCATATTAACCCTCCTTCTAACCCCCACCCCATAATCCTAACACTAATCCTCCTTCTAACCCTAACATGAACCCCCCCCCCTGTAACTCTAGTCCTAACCCTTGCAGAATACCTCATATTAACCCTCCTTCTAACCCCCACCCCATAATCCTAACACTAATCCTCCTTCTAACCCTAACATGAACCCCCCCCCCTGTAACTCTAGTCCTAACCCTTGCAGAATACCTCATATTAACCCTCCTTCTAACCCCCACCCCATAATCCTAACACTAATCCTCCTTCTAACCCTAACATGAACCCCCCCCCCTGTAACTCTAGTCCTAACCCTTGCAGAATACCTCATATTAACCCTCCTTCTAACCCCCACCCCATAATCCTAACACTAATCCTCCTTCTAACCCTAACATGAACCCCCCCCCCTGTAACTCTAGTCCTAACCCTTGCAGAATACCTCATACTAACCCTCCTTCTAACCCCCACCCCATAATCCTAACACTGACCCTCCTTCTAACTAGACATGTGCGATTCGGTTCGTTCCGAAATTCGTTTCGGACAAATTTTCAGACATTTGGATGCATCCGAATTCCAGCTAAGACGAATGCAAACGAATCCGAAATTCCCGATTTCCCGAAACAGACTGTGACGTCTCTCCGCTCGAAGCAACTCTACAGGACATTTGAGGAAGCTGTTAGCAATGCACGTATGAAGGGCCATAGCCCCACCTCAAGCTGACACTCTGCATCGGGTAGCATACAGTGCTGCATTGGGGTGCTGAGGAGCCTCTCACCTAGAAAAGTGGAAGGCATGCGGTGGCCCACTGAACACGGGGTCGCGACCCACCAGTTGAGAACCAAGGCTGTAGAGGAAGCCTGGACAGATCCCAGGAGGCAGGTAGCCGACGCCCCTTAAAATTTACAGCCGTCGCCTAACTTTTGAGGTTTTCTCTAGGTGTCGCCAGTGGAGCTGGCTCTTGGATAGAACAGACCGGCTCCTTAATTCCATATTAATTTGTACACCCCTACTGTAGAGAACGCTACTCCCACTGACATGACCACCGTTCTCTAGAGTAGAGGTGGACAAATTAATATGGAATTCGGGAGCCGGCACCTTTGGCGACATCTAGAGAAACGTTAGGAAACAGCATTGTTCTCTGTTCCCGGGCCAGTGTGATGATGTACACTCAGGGGGTGTGTCCATGACAGCCTGGGCTCACAGGAAGTGGGTTGAATGACACTGGGTACTACAAAAGTATTCCAGTGAATAGAGTCGGGCTGTAAGAGAAATCATCTACTGTGTTTCCCCGAAAATAAGACAGTGTCTTATTTTTTTTTTTTTGCACGAAATAAGACACTAGGTCTTATTTTCGGGGGATGATGTCTGTAATATAAGACCTACCCCGAACTAGGTCTTATTTTCGGGGTAGGTCTTATATTACAGACATCCCCCAAGATAGCGCTAGGTCTTATTTTCGGGGGATGTCTTACTTTCGGGGAAACACGGTAGTGGTTTTGGCTCAAAATCACTTTCCTAAATTTGTACAATTTGTTCTTTTGTCAACTTTTAAATCAATCTTCAGTTGTGCAAATAAATATATAATATTGGGTGTGCTTTTTTTAACTTTTATATACATCTTTATTCGCTAAATAAACATTTAATACTGGGCGCAATCATAACACTAGACTGAAAACAAATGATTGGTTTTCTAAAGAGAGAGCAGTTGTGGCTTTATTTCAGACTGTCTCTCTCTAATTGAAACGCCTCACAGCTGTCTATGCACACCAGGCAGGAAGGAGTCACTATTATGCATCGGATAACAGGGCAGTTTTCAGCTTGAGCTACTGACCTCGGTAAGCAAGCTTTTTAAGTTAACTTAGAAGGAGCCCAACATATCACTTGCTGGCTGGGAATATGAAATATTAAAAGTGTAGTTACCCCATGAATCTATTAGTATGTTTATGGTCATGCCTCACTGCATGCCGTTTCCTAACAAATGTTTTGCGATTTTGTGAAAAAGTGACGTACCTGTGGATCCTGCCACTAACTGCACTTCCTGGTTTATGGTGACAACGCTAAGCCAGTGCCTCACAGTTAGCAGCGTAGTCAGCCTGCCATGTGCATTTTCAGTTAAGCAGACACATCTCCTCCTGCCCCCCCCCCAACTGATTACAGTGAGCACTAAGTCTAACTAATTCATATTGGACTGCACAGTCATATTTAGACACCCTGCACAACCGACTATTCCACAGATTATATAACAATGAAAGTTGATCGTACAAGGTAGGGATGCACCAATTTCGTTTTTTCAGGAACGAGTACCAATATTTTGCTTTCGGTACTCGCTCAGAGTACCAATATCGGTGCTTTTGTTGGCATGGAGACGGCTTCCCGGGTAATCAGGAAGCCGGGCGGCGGGTAATGGCGTGCTGCCCGGCTTCCTGATTGCCCGGCAAGCTGGCTCCATGTTGTTTTGCCGGCTCGTTTGCGATTGGCTGGGAAGCTGGTTTCCTGGCTAACTCAGCATCGAGCCAACTGTTCAGCCAGCTCGATGAAGGTTGGCCGAGAAGCCAGGTTTCCAGCCACTCAGCATGGAGCCAGCTTCCCGGCCAATCAGGAAGGTGGGTCATTACTCGCCGCTCGGCTTCCTGATTGCCCGGAAAGCCGGCTCCATGCTCCCCTACGGCACTGCCGGTCAGAGGAAACCTTCCTCTGACCAGAAGTTCTGGTATCTGAGCATTAAGGCGAGTACTCGGTGTCGGCATCAGTGCATCCCTAGTACAAAGTATGTCTGACCACATATCAATTTCTGTAACGCCAAACTGACTTTATCTGATTATATCTAGTAATGGATCCCTGGGGCTTCTCGGTGTAAAATAATATATTTAATAAATCGGAATGAAATGCGTTTCCGACACTTCGCATACAAAAAGGTACAATTTCAGAACCTTGGCTTAGTCATCTTCAGCCTTGTGGTCTCATTGCTGGTTTTATAGGTTAGGCATCAAATAAGAAGCTAGAAGACATAATACAGAAAACAGAAGAGGCTCCATGTAGTCACAGGACAATACACAGTCACGGATTTAGACTGAGAACATAAACCGGCCCCCATTTTAGCATAACACAGCATCACAGAAGTCAACTTGGTGCATAACAGGCTCTAGTTTGTATCCTCTCAGGTGAACAGACTCATACACGATCTATCAGGTAGCGCTTGCCCCAGTATCTGCCCTTAAACTGAAGGTCATATGGACTCATATACTTCCTGCACCCCATCATGTTACGCGCCACAATGCGTTCGAATGTCCATGGGTTCTGGTTGTTCCTTTCTCTCTCCTCCACTTCCTCTTGCATCTTTTTTAGGCTCTCTCGACTAACGGCCTTTGCTGGGAAAGGAAGCTTCTTGGCCACTTGTTCCAGGACTGGTAGGACCTCTTGAAACTCGCAGCGACCCCCCACTTCCACGATAAGCTGGCCCGTTTTAATGGGGGTGACGTAATGGTCTACGACCCCTTTGCCTCCACCCATACGCTGGCCAAGTCCTTTGCGAGTAATGGGCTTGGTGGGCGCTTCCACCATCCAGAGGCTGAAGGTGGTGTTGATGTCGAACTTGCGGTTTAAAGTCAAACGCATCATTTCAAAGTGTCCCCAACGTAAGTAGCCTCCTCCCAGAGCCTAGACAAACAAAATACCAGAGTACTTTACACAGTTTAAACACAAAATATATACTCAATTAGCCGTTTTAAAGTAAACCAATACCTTATACAGGTTTAGAGAGCACCATGTCTTACCTGCACAGCAGCCCACCTGGATTGGCCACCAGAACCCCCAAAATTGCCGACCAACTCTGGGAAAACAACACATTTAATGACCAATGGCCTTTTCCATCTCAGAGGTTGACTTTTTCACAATGGATCTGCCAGGCTAGACGGTCACTGCATACCTCCATGTGTCTTATCAGCCCCTAATTGATCACCTGGCAATCACTTCACCTCAATATGAACTTGGATCGACTTATGGGGTAGGCCAGGGGTCAGCAACCTGCGGCTCCGGAGCCACATGTGGCTCTTTCATCCCTCTGCTGCGGCTCCCTGTCCAGGGGCGGAACTATGCCTGAGGCTCTGGAGGGGTCCAGTCAGGTCCGGTCCTGGGCACTCCCCCTGGTGGAATATGCGCAAGTGCAGGTCCCCGCACTGCCGATGGGCTTCTCAGTAAGGGGGCGGGTCTTGTGACTCACCTCCCTAGTAACAGGCGGCGGGAGAGAAGTGTGTGTCACATGCCCCGCCGCCTGAAGTGCACACCGTCTGGCTGCGAGCCTTGGCAGGCGAGTCCGAATGAGGAGCGGGGGAGTGCGTTATCAGAGTACAGTACAAAATATATATATATATATATATGTGTTATCTTCATTTTAGATGTCAAAAGGGTTTTGTGGCTCCCGGTGTTTTCATTTCTGTGGGAAACGGGTCCAAATGGCGCATTGAGTGTTTAAGGTTGCTGACCCCTGGGGTAGGCAGAGTCATTTACCATTCCTGCCCAAGTATCCCGGCACTTGATCACCACACAAGATGGAGAAAGATCAGGGTGTTCTGGTAGTCCATAGACTCAATAACAGCATGCAATGTCAAGCTTCAGTTTCTAAAGCAAGCAAAATACTTTGTGTTATACGGGGTCTAGACTCCAGAGATGGAGAAACCATCCTGTCCCTGTACAAAGCATTAGTAAGACCTCATCTATCTCCCTCCTGCCTTGTATTATATGGGGTCTAGACTCCAGAGATAGAGACATCATCCTGTCCCTGTACAAAGCATTAGTAAGACCTCATCTGGAACATGCAGTTCAGTTTTGGGAACCAATTCATAAAATGGATGTTGTGGAACTGGAGGAAGTGCAGAGAAGGGCGACTAAACTCATAAGAGGCATGAAGGAGTTCAGCTATGAGGAAAGATCAGCTGACCTGATTTTGTTCTCTCTGGAGAAGAGGCGATTAAGGGGGGACATGATCACCATGTATAAATACATAAATGGCCCATATAGTGAGCTTGGTGCCAAATTATTCACTTTAAAAAGGTCACTGCAAAAGGACAAGGGGACACTCTTTGCATCTGGAGGAAAAGAGGTTTACCTTTGCATACAAAAAGGATTCTTCACAGTTAGAGCTGTGAAAATGTGGAATAAGACTCCCCAGGAGCTAGTTCTAGTGAGCTCAGTTCATTGTTTAAAAAAAAAAATCTGGATGTATTCCTAAATGCACAGAATATTACTGGATATTGAGTTCTTATAGGTATATTAAGCATTAGAGATTGTTGATCCAGGGAATATCCGATTGCCTTATGGGATCAGGAAGGATTTTTTTTTCCTGTTGGAGCAAATTGAACCGTGCTTTATAGGGGGATCTTTGCCTTCCTCTGGATCAACAGGGGGTAATTGTGGGCATAGCATTCTATTTAAGCTTTTTTTTCTCATATCTCTATAGGTTGAACTCAATGGAGTTGTGTATTTTTTCAATCTGACTAACTATGTAACAACAAATACAACAATCAAAACTAACAACTAACAGGGCTCCACTCCAGATAGACTGTAAGTGAACCTGTATTTCCCCATCTAGCTCTTTCTTATCAAGTCTGATTCCACTATTGCCACCCTGCAATTTGCTTTCTTATTACAATATTGTCCTCTTGCAATGAATCTCTCTCTCCTCCCTTCCCCTTGCACTTATCACCCCCTGCTTATCCTTCACCCACATTACTTAAGAAAATCCTGCTGGACTTCACCAGTCTGAACAACTTAAGACCCATCTCCTTGCTCCAGTTCACCTCCAAAAAGGTCTACACCTAGTTCACAACCACCAGAGCTTCTTCCTCAATGATCACAATCTTCGCTGTTGGAAATACAGCAGCATATGCTGATATGTACTGAGTGTATTGACATTCTCATGTGTGCCGATATGTCTTTTGAGCTGCAGATGGCGCTGTAGTTCAATGTTACTCTGTGTGTATGCTCATCTATGATACACAGGAAGTTTTCCTATACATTTCCTGCACAATGCTGTATTCACATGTAATGTATTTCGAAGCAAGGCAAATTTAATTCAGATTTCCAACAGAAAACCAACATTCTCAACCCTTTGCAGTCTGGCTTTTGTTAACAACACTCAACGGAAACTGCCCTCCTGAAAGTCACCGGTATCTTACTGTTAAAGCCAATGGCCACTACCCTGTACTGATACCAAGACCTTTCTGCTTTTAACACAGTTGACCACCATCTCCTCCTCAAAACACTCTACTCTTCCATGGTTCCCCTACCCATCTCAGCCCACCTATAGTGTTAGCCACAATACGATCTCATCCCCTAATCTTTCTGTAGAGACCCAAGGGTCTGTCCTCAGACCCCTACTAATCTCTACCACAGGGATAGGAAACTTTAGCACCTGTAAAAGTACCTGTTTTACCACAGCTGGAGTGCCAAGTATGCCTACCCCTGCCCAACCTGCACCTTCTCCCTAGGGCAGTTGATAACCTTTTGCAGTGTCAACAACCCACAAATCTGTCTCTCTACTTCTCAGCCAACCTCTTGGGTCTCCTCACGCATCACTAATTTACTATCAGTATGAAGGCCAAACCACTCCCTCAAGCCCAATCTTTCCAAAACTAAGCTCATAATACATCCTCCAATCTCCATGTCCCTTACCCAAACACCTCCATCCAG